CGAAAACAAGTACAGACGTTTCCATACCGATCCGCAAGACTCTACTAAACCTGCTCATGACTCGTGAGACCTATGTTACCTAGAGCTCTGATACCAATTTGTCACGACCCAATAATTCTAACCTGTCGTGATGGCGCGTATCTCGATACTAGACAAGCCCACAATCTAAATAAACCATAATTTCTTTTAAGTTTAAAAATATAATATTTAAATACAATACAAAATCCCACAATTACTAATATAAACACTCCTTAAAATCTGGTGTCACTGAGTACATGAGCATATAATATTAATACAAGTCTGAAAAATATGGTCTATAATAGTCTAAGACTAAATGCAGTAAACAAGGAGATAGGGAAGGATAGACAAGGTCTGCAAAATATGGCAGCTACCTCTGAATTTTCGAAAAATCAACTGTGCGAGAGAATTAGCACCCCATATGTCCGGAAATACCTGGATCTGCACACGAAGTGCAGGGTGTAGTATGAGTACAACCAACTCAGCAAGTAACAATAATAAATAAGGAACTGAAGATAGTGACGAGCTACACAGTTATAGTTCATTTTCAGTAATTCTAGCAGAGAGTAGACATGCTTTCAATTCCATGAGTTTAAGTCAAATCAGTTTTATACAGTTCAAGTTCATGTAATATGGATATAAAATCTTTCAGAGAATTTCACAACAATGACAGATAATCACTAAGTGCAACAACAAATGAAAAGCAGTATAGCCTCTCAGAGCAACAGTCACTCAACTCGTCACATTAGCTCAACCACTCGGCTCTCAGCCCTCAGCACTCACACTCAATGGGTACCCGCGCTCACTGGGGGTGTACAGACTCCAGAGGGGATCCTACAGCCCAAGCTCTATAATCTGCACGGACAACTCACGTGCTGCACGGACAACTCACGTGCTATAATATCCTGCACTGACAACTCACGTGCCATAGTATTCTTACCTCACCGACAGGCCCTTGGCCTTACTCAGTCCTCAACCTCTCTAGTCTGTCGGCTCTCAGAAATCACAAAGATCAGCCCAAACAAAGATAACACAATGTATCAACAAAAATCAAGAAAGACTAAGGTATGATACGCAAGTAAAATCATGACTGAGTACAAGACATCAATTAGCAAATAATTCAACCAGTACACGACCTCTGTGGGTCCCAACAGTACTATCACATAGCCTAAGCAAGATTTCTAACATGATTTACAGCCAAATTTCTTCAACACATAGAGAGCATATAGCTAACAACAAGTTAATCAACTTTTTAGTTTCACACGACGGACCAAGTCACAATCCCCTCGGTGCACACCCACACGCCCGTCACTTAGCATGTGCGTCACCTCCAAAACAATCACATGATACAAAATCCGGGGTTTCATACCCCAGGACCAGATTTATAACTATTACTTACCTCAAACCGTGAAATTCTTATTTCGCTAATCTTTTGCCTCATGAATTTGCCTCTAAATGCCTCGAATCTAGTCATAAATAATTTATTTAAGTCAATAAAATTTATTGAAATTAATTCTATAAGAAAATGCTAATTTTCCATCAAAATTTGAAATTTAGCTCAAAAATCACGTCTCGGAACCCGACAAAAGTTACAAAATCCGGAAGCCCGTTCAACCATGAGTCTAACCATACTTATTTTACCAAAATCCGACCTCAACTCGGCCTCCAAATCTTCAAATCTTATTTTCAAATCCCTAAGTTCAAACCCCCGATTTACACCTCAAAAATATGTAATCTAGTCGGATTATTCGATGATAATTTAATATTATGGAGTAGAAATTATCACAAGGGACTTACCTCAAGTTTTTCCTTGAAAACCTTGCTAAAAGATCGCCCAACCCGAGTTTGAAATGCCCAAAAATGGCAAAAGCTCGGAACCCCTATGTTTTTGTACTGCCCATGGGTTTTCGCACTTGCGACCCCTTTTAGCGCTTCTGCGAAAGCCGCACCTGCGCACACATCTCCGCTTCTGCACATGCCATATCCTCTTCCCCTGTCCGTTTTTGCGTGCATTGCTTCGCACTTGCGGCCACGCATGTGCGGAAATTTAGTCGCGCCTGCGACCATTGCTTCTCTTCACACTGGACGCATCTGTGATGGAAGGCTCGCTTCTGCGAGCTCTCACCTGCGATAGAATTTCTGCAGGTGCGATTGCATGAGATAGCCGAAACTTCAGTTTTTTCTTCTAAGTCTAAATTTGATCCGTTATTAATCCGAAACTCACCCGAGGCCCCCGGGACATCAACCAAATATACCAACAAGTCCTAAAACATCATACAAACTTAGTCGAGTCTTCAGATTATATCAAACAATGCTAAAACCATGAATCATACCCGAATTCAAGCTTAAGGAACTTAAGAATTTCCAACTTCTACATTCGATGTCAAAACCTATCAAATCAATTCCGATTGACCTCAAATTTTGCACACAAGTCATAAATGACATAATGGAGCTATGAAAATTTTCAGAATTGAATTTCGACCACGATATCAAAAAGTCAACCTCTCAGTCAAACTTCCCATAAATTTGACTTTCGCCACTTCAACCATAATTCTACTACGAACCTCCAAATACTTTTCCGGATACGCTCCTAAGGCCAAAATCACTATACAGAGCTATTGGAATCATCAAAACTCTATTCCGAGGTCATTTACACATAAGTCAATATCCGATCAACTATTTCAACTTAAGCTTCCAACATGAAATTTATTCTTCCAAGCTAGCTCCGAAATATCTTAAAACCAAAACTGACAATTCATACAAGTCATAATACCTCGTAGGAAGTTATTCAAGACTTTAAATAGTTGAAAGGAACGTAAATGCTCAAAATGACCGGTCGGGTCGGTACAAGCTTTCAGTAGCAGCTTACACAACAGCTTGCAGTAACAACTTACACAGCAACTTGCAGTAGCGGCTTACACAATAACTTCCTTTATTATATAAATATAGGAGATTTCAGTTCACTATATACATGAGTTTAACGTTGAATAAAAATATCAATCTCCCTCTATATTTGTCTTCGGTTTCTTTACTTTATAACATTTATTTTATAGCAAATTTGTTGTTGTAGCAATTATAGAGCTTTTATAGTAGTAAAGAAAGCGCACATTTTTCTAGTGTGCAATGTTGGTAGTTCCAGACTTCTAGGTTCCACGTGCAACCAAAATAGATTAAATTTCATGACTTGGTTGACATTTCTATCAAAATTAATAATCTTATAATGGAGTAAGTTTTTTATTTTATGCTAGCATTGACGTTGAAAGTATTTCACTAGTCCATTCCAATTTATGTGTCAACATTTAATTAGAGTAGTTTTAAACAAATATTAAATTTGTGTGAAACAAACCTTTGAAATATATATATGGTTATAAATCATCTCATTAAGAGAAAAATAAAAGTTTAAAGGTAAAATAATGCTTAATATAAAAATATATTACTCTTTAAAAAAAAACTAAAACAAAAAGATTATCATATAAATTGTGATAAGAGGGGTAACAAATAAGTTGGATTTAAAATTTAGAGAAAACCAATATCAAATGTTATGAATATCTCAAAGAAAGTTGGAGATGAATAGGAATGGGATGTTCAAAATCTAACCGAAATCATTAACCGAACCGAACTGATGGCTTATTGGTATCAGATTATCGGGGTAATGGATAGAGAACAGATTAAGATTTTATAATTAACGGCTTAACGACTTGGGGGGCGGATTACTCAATTTTCTTATCGGGTAAACCACTAAACCGTTAAGAATTTTTATATTTATATTTTTACCCCTATGTATATAAAGTACTATTGTTTATCTGTCTTTCGTTGCCATTGTTATTTGTATATTACAATTCTTTTTCCAAATTCTTGATTTAATTATAGGTGACTACCCAGTTTTATATGAATATTGATTTTTTCCACATGTTGTACCTTTATCTATTTGCATATTACAGAATCGAATTACAGCTTCCAGCTAAGTTAAGCGTTAGAACTTTGAGGGCGAAGGCCGGAGCTTTTGCCTTTTGATTGATTACGAACGAATGTCCTTTTGAAAGTTTTACAAATTTGGTTACTATGTGTAATGATAGTATGTGTAGTCTTGGTATTGATTGAATGATTGCTAAAAAAGAATTTATTTGGTTTAGCCGATAAGCCGCCTGATAATTGTTAATCTGATGCCAATCCGCCCGTTGTCTTATTGGATGGCTAGCGGATTATTACATTTATAATCGGATAACCGTTTAGCCGAACCATTAAGTGTAATTATCCGTCCGATCCGCCCGATAAGCACCCCTAAATAGGAATATGTAAGAATTGATATTTCTCTCTTCTTTCTTAATTTTAGTTGAATTATGATTTTTATGTTTTTCTGAAAAGGAAAATAAAGTCTCTGATTGGACATAATATTTCAAAATATATTTCACATGTTTTAAAAAAAAAACATGAATTGTGATTTATACTCATAAGTTTTAAAAACTATCAAAAATACCCAACAACTCTGAAGAAAATTCATACAAAACAAGTGAAATAAATCTGAAGAAAATTTATACAAATATTAGCAGATTTTAGCAAATTACCTTCAAATTTTGTCTTTACAGTGGATTGCCACAGATTGGCACAATAATTATGGAGAAAGTTTTTTTCTGTTTATAGAGAAGGGCAAAACCGTGTGAGTTTAATGAGGGAAAAGTGGGTAGATATGGATTAGTTGAGTCATAATAATAGAAAGTGAGATTTTTTATAAAATATAAAGTTTAGGGCAATATTTATTTTTTTTTAAAAAGCAAACGTTAATATTTTGGGCCAAAAACAACTCTTGAGTTGGTTTTGAGATTTAAAAATTTACCAAAATATGAATACAATCTATAAGTATTTGCCTAAAAAAAATTGGAAAAAATTTGTCAAAATCTCTTGCCATACGGGGGTAAGTTAAACTCGAGAACTATCTATGTATCTATATAATTGAGGGACATAGCCCGGTGATCTGGCACAACTCTCCCGTCAGAATCCCCATTTATCTACTTTGTCATTTTTTGATATTTTCCCATCAATTTTAAACTTTCTGTATTACGGTATTTACACATTAACTGCTAACATTTATCGCATGTATCCGAAGGGACACCAAAACCACACTGAAAGACCTAAACTAAGCGTTTCTTCTCTTCTGCCAACGTCCGTTCAAAGCGCAATGATTCCATCTATTGCCGATTCGCCGCAAGTTATGAAGCCTTCACCGTCGTCACCGGCCAAAGATGCATCTGCTTCAAGACCAGTTCGGACGGCCTGAAATTTCGACAAACGGAACAAATCACCCCCAAAGTTGAAGGTAATCTCTTTGTAGAAATCACGCATTTTCGAAGCAAATCAGAGTCTTGTCTTTCTTCCTCACGTGCGTAGGGAATTTTCTCACTGTGTTTTCTCCCAATTGTAAGTCTTCCCGTTCATATGTATAAGTGTGTGTGTGATTCCTACAAGTCGAAGCCTTGACTCATAAAAGGTCTACTACTCCATCTCCAATTGGAAGTAGGGCTGTATTTTGTCCCGGGCCCGGGCCTTAGTNGAAGTATTTGGACAATATTGGTTCCCACTTGCCAACCCCTCTTGCAAGTAAGCCCATATTCTTATCGCCTCTTTCAGTCTAATTGATGATTATATTTTTTCCTGTGAAATTTTGTCAGGGATCATTTATAAAAAAAAATTATGCGGAAGAGTCAAATCAGTGTTTTGTACTGTTCTGAGCATATGATGTAGTTCGGTAACTGATGGGGCTTCAGGTTACGTTCTTTTAGCTTTTTCTCTTTGCCTTCTGACGTTCAACTTACATACTCCATGTTTTATGAACTCTTCCCATCATTTCGTGAGTCTTCAGCAGACCAAGAACTATTCTTTAATTTCAAATTGATAGAAGTACAAAAGATATGAATTCACATTCTTTTGCCAACATATGCAGAAACTATAATGTGCAATAATTCTCTATTTTTCGGTAGTAAAAGTTCACCTGTATTAAGAATGAGACTCAATCTGACTTGACAAAAAGGATTTGGTGATATCAATAATAACTGTTGTCTGTGTGCATTTTGTGCTTAAAAAGTAATCTCAACAAAGGTATCATATGTCAAGGAGCTTAGTGACTCTTGACAATTACTCTATTGCCAATCGGGGTGAATGGTGGGCTTACGGCTAAGGATGGTATATGAATCTACACTCTAATAATCTATTCTCTTCTCCTATTCAGTCCTATAGTCATATATTAGTGGTGAAATAATTTTTCAAGGTTGGATCTAGGCTTGCTATTCATTTTAGTCTGGGGAAGTTGGTATCATTGTGTGCTCGCCAATTCGATTATGTATCTATGAAAATCATCGCTCCTGAAGAACTATGTAGCTTCCTTCTAACTAAATAGTTATTCTTTTGGTTCCTGTTACCTGTTTTTTGTTTCTCAAATTTCTGCTGCTTTGATAGCTTTTATACGCATCCTGATGTGCTTTATTCCTGTGATTGTTTTAAGCTGTCAAAGCCATTGTTCGTAATGCCAAGGTTCGTCATATCATTTTCCCGTTATCATGGAATTAAGTGTGTTTTAGTAGGTGTATCTTTTGCTTGGACTTGCCATCTATATCTTTCTTTTAAAGGATATCAAATATAAGTCTAATAGAACTTCTATACATGCATATAATACATTTCATAATAGAATTTTCTAAAATCGCCTGATTCGATTTTGTGCAAATAGCGTCAAGCAGCATCGTTAACAGTTAGAAGATACCATTGGTTCCTATCCTGTTTTACTCACATTGGAGCTATATTGGTGACTTTCATGGTAGTTTTCTGATTTTTCTTACTTTAGTATTTTTTTGGTTTATTACGTCAGTATTTTTCCCTGATTTGAATATCTTTTCAGGATGTGAAATGGCGGACTCAATATCTCATCATGCAGACTTATCCTATTCAAATTGTGAAGAAGATATCAATGGAATTGAAGGCAACAACTCAAGAAAGAATTAGCAGTTCGTGAGAGGCTTTCTTTGAGTATTACTCCTTAAAATTTCTTTCCTTGACCATTTGGTTTCTATATGTATTCTTCTATATCACCAAGCTAACATTAGTGACAAACAAGAACATGCTATTGGCATTCAGTCCAGCAATAAATCATGTACTTCTCCTTCTCTACTTAATTTTTGGGTGATTTCTTGTGGGTTATGAAAGTCTGCTAACTGATCAGGAAAATAGATATTAGCCCAAAAATCAAACATAGTGGGATATGAGAAAGAAAGGATAATATTATCGTGTGAAAGGAATAGCTGTATTTCATGGTCTTAGAAAAAACATTATGANTGGTCTTAGAAAAAGCATTATGAGATTTGGGCTGCTGGGATTGGAATAGGAGAAAAAAATGGGATAGAGAATTATGGAATTGTTGTATTTGACGTGATACAGAATATTGATCTTTCCTGCATTTCCAATTTATTTCCTTTTCTTTTTCGTTTTTCCCTTTCATATTTAGTTTTTGAGTTCTTATTCAAGAGAAAAAAAATGATGTCAATCTTATCAAACATAAGTTACTACAATTTATATATTTTATTACTAGGACTAGGAATTTCAATACTAAGAAAAAGCTTTGGAGAAAAAGGCGTTAGAGAAAGAAAAAAACGAGCAACATCTCAAGTCTATATCCCAAAATTTTACATTAGCATCGTTCTCTCTCTTAGTTTCTTATCTTATTCTTTTGGTTTTATGTTTTTATTGAGGTTCACATATGTTGACTAAAAAGAGTTGTGTCATATTTCATTTCAAATATTTCTTACATATTCTTTTTGTCAAAATATAATGTCAACAACATCATGAAAGGACAGTGTGTCAATTTGTTTTCTTATTCGTCTTTTGTGAAGAGAAAAGATGCATTAAATAGGGAGAAACAAGTAAAGAGAAAATGACAAAAAAGAAATTAAGAAAAAAGAGAACATAATAAAACGAAAAAAGAAGATGGACGTGGACGAACATAATAAATCGAAAGATGCACATAGGTATTTGATCATGTATTGCTTCTCCTTTATTTTTTTAAAGTACCAAATTTGAAAGGTTAACAAAACACTTATTTCGAACCGGTTGGAGTAACTTTTAAATTATGTAGAGAGGATCAAATCTTACATTTCATTTACAACACAACTTTTTAGTTTAAAACCGATTGGAGTATCTATGTGCACACAATTTTTAGTTTAAAATCAAATTTCACATTTACAACCCAACTTTTGATCACTGTTCTTCATTACTCCTTACATTCCAAAATTTTCATTTCAGAGTTAGATTTTTCTTTGTTGTGAAATATGTTCATATATTTAGGGATGCATGATAAGGCAAAAAATGCTCACGTTCTTAATAACTTAAAACATATTATTTAAGAATACTTTAAAAATATAGTTGTGAAAAAATAAATTTAACTTTTCAAATAGTAACGAATTGAAAAATTAATCACCTTTTAAATTTATTAATATTTTTAATGACCGCGCTTTCCTAATTATTACTAGTTTTGTTATAAAAAGAACCATCATGAAATTAACGCTCTTTTGGTTGTATTCTCGACCCCTCATTACCCAGGATTTCCCCATTCTGAAAACAAAGAAGAGATTTTTTCTCCTAGAAGTTTCCGGTCGTTTTCCTGTAGATACCGAGCTTCGCCGAGCTGAGCGGAAGGAACTTGATGGGTAAGACGAAGTCGGTGAAGCATGACATTGATTCTTACACTATAAATGGCACCAACAAAGTCGTAAGACGTAAAAATACGTTCTCCTTCTCTTCTAGGGGTGTGTGTGTGTGTGTGTCGCGTCTGTTTTTGTGTGTGTGTCCGCCTGTTTTTATGTGTGTGTGTGTTTGTGCGTGGATGTATTTAATTACTCTGCATTGATGGATATAATATTTGTATTTTATTCAAGTTATTTTTCATGATTTGTTGTGTGCATGTGGATGCAGCAACTTGCCTAGTGTAGATGGTCCTAAGCCCGATAATATCATAGTTGTAATGATACAAGAGTATTTGTGTAATCTGACTTTCAAAGGCGGGTTCAAGATTTGAACTTTATGGGTTCGAGTTAGGGATTCTACCCCAACTCATTTGATTTATGGGGTTCGAAATTAATTATTTGTACAAATTTAGTAGATTGTTAACATATATATAGAGGCCGATCCAAGATTTTAAGTTTATGGGTTCTAGATTCAAGGACATGATAAATTACTGGGTTCGGGATAGATTATTTATACTTATTAAATGGGTGTTTTAACACAAATAGATCCGACATATACAGGGTGTAAGCCAAAGCTACTGGTTTCCTCTCTAGTACTCTACGTCTGCCCTCTGGATTTATGTAGTCGAGCGCAAGTAATTTGGTATTGCAGAGTGTTTGATTGATTTCAAGTGTTCTCCCATGGTTCATTGGAATAACGCCTTTTTCATTATTTCCTTACCGTGTGGAAATCAACCATATAGTATATTTTTCGTCATGAATTCCTTAGCAGTTCATCAGATCTTGTCTTTTTAAATTATCCAGTCAGTTAATTTTCAATGAAAAGGAAAGAAAAACACAAAAAAGAACAAAAAAAGGTTCACGTAGATATGCCCGCTAAGAATTTTGATGAGATTTGGTGCATTCTTTTTCTTTACACTTGCAGCGCTTTTTCCCCCTCTGTGGTGGAATAAGTGTTTGATAGTCGGAGCTTTGGCTTAAATCCCCTCCTTTTCTCTCTCAGCTGGTGATTGTGTGTTAATGAGACCACCAGAATCTGATAAGCCACCGTATGTGGCAAGAGTAGAGAATATTGAGGCTGACCATCAAAACAGTGAAGGTTCGAGTACGATGGTACTACCGTCCTGAGGAGTTTGTTGGTGGCTGCAAACAGTTCCCCGGGACAAAGGAGCTATTTTTGTCAGATCACTATGATGTGCAGAGTGCACACGCTATTGAAGGAAAATGCAAAGTGCACTCATTCAAGAACTACACCAAATTGGAGAGCGTGGGCCCTAAGGATTACTTCTGTAGGTTTGAGTACGAAGCTGACACAGGAGAGTTTACTCCTGACCGTGTTATTGCTTTGTTGTGAAAGTTGAAAGTGGTTAATTTTGGTGGTTGGAATGGTATGCTTGTACTGTATACTTGCGTTGATTTGAGTATATTTGGATGTGTTGATTTTGAAGGTATTGCAAGTGTAAGATGCCCTACAACCCAGACGATCTCATGGTACAGTGTCAAGAATGCAAAGACTGGTATGTGTACACTGCTTTTTTAATAACGTGTATCACTATCAAATGTGTGTCACTATCACTTTGTAGAACTTGCATTGCCTCTTTTCCTTAACGAATGTAGATATATTTTTGTCGTTATTGTTGTTATAATTATTGTTTCTTTATTGAACTATGTTTGTCATATTGGTTTTTCTTTTAGAAGATATGTGAGTAGTTCCAAAGGCTATGGTTCAGTGGTATGGACATAGCACCTGATGTGTTGGGTGAGGCGCACGTCATGGGTTCGAACCCTGCCGTAGACAAAGTTTGATATTTAAGTTGGGAGGAGGGAAGCCCAGAGGGGTGATCTCTAGTTCTCTACTAAAGATGGTAAGCGAGACATAGCCTAGAAGCTCATGCACAAATTGATGAGGAGATGTACAGGATGAGCATTTTGTAAATTCATGTTTAACCACGAGGGGGCAAGACCTAGTTGAGAACCAAGAAAAAAGCGGTGCCCGGATGGCACCCACTTTGATTGATTGTTTTGACGTGAAGGGCTTTTGCCTACTAATGAGTACTGATATGCGGTTTTAGTAGTAGAAAGAGAATTAGCAGGGGTATGGGCAAAGTGTGCAACGAATACCGGGAATTAGCAAAGTATTACTTCTTCCTCTTAGTTCAAGCATTCTTTATTTCTCTGGTATCAAAGAAAAAAAAGTAGAAGAAGATACACGAGTAAGGATTATTGAAACAAAATGCAATGCTGTTACTGTTTTAGGACTTCTGTTGGAAACTATAAGATAGGCTTTCTTTGTTCCCGAAAGACCTCGCATGGTAAAGAAAAGTAGGTCTTTATCTGTAGTTATTCCTTAGTTCTTACATGAAGTTTTATCTTTGTCTATATAATATAATTAAAAAAATGATGATCAATCTAAATTTGTGTGCGTGTGTGTGCAATACTTGTAATTCTGCGTGTGTGTTTTTTGTATCTCGACTCATTCCTAAAGGGATGAATTTTCGATATGGGATGCAGTTAGATCTCAAGATGCAAAAGATGGTATCAGATTAAATTTTCTAGAGAACCTAAAAAGGAATAGCAGACTGCATTAGTGTCGACTATCGAGAGGAAATATAAGATCCTTATGCGTCTGTAATTGCATTTACTGGTATTGAGTGAAAGTCTGCTGCACTCTTCAGGATCCTGAATGCTAGCAAGGCCTGAGTTGGCCATCGAGTTTGTTAAACCAACCGTCTGTGTGATGATTGTTCAATCACTATGACAATGACTAAGAGGATCTTTATTTATTTTACGTACAATTTATTGCAGGTTCCATCCCTCTTGTATGGGAATGACGATTGAAGAAGCCAAGAAATTAGACTATTTCTTGTGTTCGGACTGTTCATCAGAACACGATGCGGAACAGCCTCTGAATACAGTTCATGTTTCACCATCTCGTGAGCTAAAGGTAAAAGGCCTGTTGCATAGTCTTGTTAGCCGTTGATATGACTGTCTTTATGACTATTTAGGGATATTGTATCTCAAGTCAGTGGCCTTTTGCTATTTCGGAGNGTAGTGTTGCCTAACGTCGATTCGACTTTCCTTTTCTCAAAAAGGTTATTCTTCATCCCCGAGGACGGAGAACAATGAGCTTGCACAAGAGTTCCATGTTTTATTTGATAACTGATTTCCGTGTTAAGTCATGTTGATCTATACTTTGTCATATTAATGATAAAATCCACTATCAAATGACCAAATTAAGCTGGTGTTTGATCTCTTCTTATTTGGGTGCTGATAACGCCCAAATAATTGCTATTGCCTTTTAGTTGACTTCCCTGGATCCGAGTGCTGCTACTTGCTTGTTAACTTTGTTTTCTTGTGCTTCTTTTCAAGGTACCAATCTTGGGTGCACTACCTCCAAATCCCAACCCACTCATGTTTCAAGGTAGGCATGAACAGAATGAGCAACTTAATCAACAAGGACAATCCCAAATGGATGGTTACATGAGTGCTATTGTACCACCACACATTGGGGCTGCCAATTTTAGCTTGAATCCAGTTTTGTTAGAAATTTTGAAGGACGAGGGTCTATTTGGTGGGCTTCACCATGAGGATCCGTATAGTCATTTGCGGAATTTTCTCGCAGTATGCGCGCTTCAACATCAGTATGACGTTTCTGAGGATGCTCTTTGGTTACGTTTATTCCCTTTCTCACTTCAAGGGGAGGCTTCAGATTGGTTGGATAATCTTCCAGCCATGTCTATCTATACTTGGAGAGAGTTAACAAAGGTATTCCTTGCAAAGTACTTTCCTCCCGCTAGGACAGCTGAATTGAGAATGGGTATTCTTCAATTCAAGCAGAAACCGCATGAATCATTGCATGAAGCATGGGACAGGTACAAGCTTTGCATAAAGAAATGCCCTAATCATGGGTGTCCCAATCAATTACTTTTGGAAACCTTCTACTTGGCTTTGGATAAAGTTACAAGGTCCGTGGCGGATAATGCGGCAAATGGAGCTATCATGAATCTCTCGGTTCAAGATGCGAGAGTCATATTAGATAGGATTTCGGATAATGCTCATGCATCATACGTGGGAGAGCGAGGACACTCCTAGCACAGCAAGTACGGCAAGTCAAATGGCTAGGGATGAGACCATGGCGCAACTTGTGACTCAAGTGGGGCTTATTTCCAAACAACTTGCCGAGATGGGGGTCAAGAAGGTCCATGTGGTTGATGCCACAAGGGGACAGTTTATTAATTCTTCACCCAATGTGTGTGCTCATTGTGCAGGGAAAGGAGTGACAACCCAAGAGCATTGCGCCATCATTCTCCAGAGGAGGAATCGAATTATGCTGGAAACTACGAAGGTGGCATGAATCAAAGGGGTAATTATTAAGGTGGTCGTCCATCCCAATCTCAGTGGCGACCACCCCAACAATGGCTAAACAATCAAGGTTGGAATCAAAACACTCAAGGAGGTAATTGGGGAGCCGGTACTTCACAAGCATCTAATGCACTAAGGCCTCCTATGTATCAACAAACAACCCAACATCCACCCTACTACAATCAAGGTCAGTCCTTCCATCAACCCAAAGACAACAATGGCAGCAATGAACTTGCCAAGATTAAAGGGTTGTGTGAAAAGATTTTGGCTGATTCGGGGAGAACAGATGCAACACTTCAAGACTTGGGGCAAGTCCAAAATACTGAACACTAGGCCCCAAGGTGCTCTACCAAGTGATACCATAGCTAATCCTAGGGGTGATTCGGGAAATCTACATTGGATGGAATAGTTGGATGTTTGGGTTAGATGTGAAGCTGGATGTATGACGATAAGCCTCAGAAAGATGATCCGGTGATACTCAAGAGTCAAGACTTGTAACTTTCCCAGCTAGATTTGCAATATGTCTGGTTAAGGAAGATACTTGGTTATCAGTGCTTATAGAACTGTTTTATATGAGGTGTGAATTCATTAAGTCGTAAACTAATGGAGATCTTTTCATCTAGTCAGTTTGAGTTAATTGACAATGCATTTCGAGGTCACGGCAGCATCCTTGTGTGATGGATTCACGACATATCGAGCTGGTTGTACAGCTAAAAAAAGTTGTTTGTGCAACTTGCTTGATTTATATGTTAAGTAGCACTCTCGTTTTATATACTAGAAATACCATGCCTTGTGAATTTTACAGATGAAGGGCTCAATTTTTCCCAGAGGTAGACCCTCAATGTCTAACATTTGCAGCCATAAGAATAGAGCTGGGCAAATGCGTTGAGTATGTGGTGTATAAAATTCAAGAGTTAACCGTGCCTTCACTAAGGAAAATGGAAGGAGGACAATTTTCAAATAATTTTTAAAATCACCACTACTACTTAAAATAACATTTTTCGTAATAGAACTCTAATATTTTGTAAGATAACATCAAGGCAAGTACAAAAAAGAAAAGATTTTGTGACTCCACTTACCCATAGTTCATTTCAAAACTTAGCAATTTGTAAAGCCTAACTCGCCCACGATGTAGCATACTAGCAATACCTTAAACTTGTCTTTTGATTCAATCAAGCTGTAATAACCTCCATTTAAATTTGTATTAGAATTATGAATGTGCCAAATTCAAATGAGACATTTGGTTGAAGTTGAAATGTGTTTTTTTTTTTAAAAAAAAAAAAATTAATTTTGTGTCGACATCATTTTCACATGGAGAAAAGATACGTAGAAGATTTGTGCGGAAAGTCATTATTACACTTAAAATTTCTTGTCAAACAAGGTCTTAGATATTTCACAAGTACTTCAAATCCTAAAATATTTTATTTATGGCCAAATGGAGCATGGTGTATAAGCTTATCAATTAAGATACAGAAAATCATACATGGTATATCAACTTTTTTTGTTTTCCCACCCGGAATCCCATACCCGCATTTGGGCGCGACCAAAATCTGAAAGTTTCCTAACAAAGTTCTATATTTCGGGCTTGAACTCGAAACTTTTGGTGAAACACGAAAGACTACTTACCACTCCACCCCAATCCTTTTTCTTTTTGGCAGTATATCAACTTAACTAACCAATTGTGACATTCATAACGACAATCAACAGTCCTCTATAAGCATTTCCAATGCCTGTAAATCGAGGGACAAATTCCTCTTCTGTCTACGTGAAAAGTGACCCAAAATTCCAGTAAGGTCCAATTCCTCAGGAAGAAAAATATTACTAGGTGATTTCTTCGCATTGGCATATGATATATCTTTTGAATCCCTTGTTTGGATTCCCGGCTCCGCCACTAACAATCTGTCACAAAAAGTATTGAATCGACCAACCATTTAAGTAGGCTGGCTTCATAATGTCCTATATCCCTCATAGATGGGGTTACTTGTTCTCAGTGGCGCATTATGTTGTGGGTTCTGAGCTGAGAGTTTTGGTTCTAAGTATATCTAACTCTATATATACTTCTTTTTTGCACATACATATGTGGTTGACTCTTAAATACTGGATTCTACTGAACTCGCGACCCAATGGTTGGTTGCAGGAGCTGCTTGCTTCCCTTTGGCTTTGAGATGTGAAAGAAAAGTATTTAGGCAGCCCTTCAATTTTTAATCTTTAGTTGCAGTTAAGTACCTTGAGATGGCTTCTCCTGTTTGTACTTGCAGCCAGAATATTATGGTCTGTTCCCTTTTCTGTTTTCTATGTGTTTAATTTTGGTGAATGTTCGTGAGAGTTTAGATGATTTTATTCAGGCTGATTGCTTAAAGAACTTCCACCAATTATACTGTCTTCCAGTTTGATAGTTGTACTTCATTTCCCTGATAATTTCTATTAGCTAGTTTTATGTCTTTCTTATGAATATTTACCTGTATCTTTTCCTTGTTTTTTACGTATGAGTTTTGGAACGCATTCGCTTAGCATTTGGGAAGAATAACTCTTAGGAATGTTCTAGTCAGATGCAGGTGCCCGCCGACAAGATGACTTCATAGCCATAGAAAATGCGCCAGAGTAAATGCTGTCAAACTGTCCTGCTCTTAGGGGAATTCTTCAATAGGTTTAGCTAGTTCATCCCTTTAAAGATATCCTGTTTACTAGTTCAGTTTGCAGAATAAGCAAATTTTTCGAGACATTGGCTATTCCTTGCATGTGATATCTCATCCTTTTTATGGAGTTGCGGTTCCTTGATGTTGCTTAGGTTAAGAGATTTATTGTGGTAACAGTTTGAAACATAATAGATGTATTAAGTTGTGAACCATCACCCTGTTTCTGCAAGTAGTTCTCAGTAACTGCACAAGTTCTTACCTGAAAATTCTTTTAGAACAGATCTATGTTGGCATGACCGGTATGGTTCATTTTAGTTTTTCCTTTTTGTCCCCCTCAAATTTCTGTTAAGTTGTCTCAACAATCGTAAAATGTTATGTTCTTCTGTAGTTCATATCTTTAGGGCAGTCCAAAGACAGGAATTCTTGTTTCTAAAGCCATGGTAACAGTTGTTTGTATGCTACCTTAGTTATCGTTGATTATAGTTATCAGAAAAGATTACTACCTATATGTTCTTAGATAAGTCTACTAAGTGAGTTGAAAGGTTCTTTGTTCCTGTCAGTGGCGGAGCCACCCCTTCGTCCGGAAAATTACACTTTGTAGCTCGATAATTTTTATTTTATATGTATATATTATTATATGTTGACTCCCCTTGACTTCTTCGTATGTTTACTTCTTTATATATTGACACAAAATTTTGACTCTGTCACTGGTTCCTGTGACTTTATAGGGTATTTAAGAATTAGTGAAGCACCTTCTTTAGCTGAGCTTCCAATTTTGCATAGTAATTCTTTCAATCAAAGTAAGGAAAGGTAACCAGGTACACATGATCTGTTTGCTGTTTCAAGATCACATTTGTGCTGTTGCAAATGACAATACATCTACAATCCAGTATCCTTTTAATTTCTTACAGCTCCTATTGTCTCAGGAAAAAGAATACTTTACCTCAGACGCAAACCTAATGTATAAAGAGAAATATCACACATGCCATTGTAAAATGAATACAATCCTATAAAATACAAACTCTGGCTGTTTAAGCTACTACCAAAAAAAGATCATGGCAAAGCATTTAAACTTCCTCCTTCTCTGCAGCATCAGGATTCTTTTTCGTGTTGGCAATGGTCGTATCCGTCCAATTCTTGAGCTCTTCTTCCGAATCTTCAAGACCGCTAAGGTTCTGCACCTTGTATTGGTGTCTCATTGAAAAAACTAGGAAAACCAAGTAATTGATTATTCCTAGCACTGCTAGCATCCAGTAGAAATAGTCCAGCCTACCGTTGTTCAAATTGCTTTTAAGCCAGCTCGCATTTGTTACCTTATGTACAAGTGAAACTAGCAAGCTACTGATAAAAAATCCCATTGATAGTGTTGTAAGAAATAAGCCTGTGCTCATAGATTTCATCCCTTCTGGTGCCTCCCTTATGAAAAACTCAAGCTGACCAACATAGGCAAAAGCTTCTCCAGCGCCGACAATGAAGAACTGAGGTATTAACCAAAAAGCTCTTATGCTATAACTATGTTTTACGGCATTTTCCCTTCTTTGCTTTTCTACTATAGCTGCAGCTATCATACCAGCAATGGATAGTATTAGTCCGATTCCAACCCTTTGAAGGCTTGTAAGTCCTTGTCTATTGCCTGTGATTTTTCTAGCAATAGGTACAGTAACTCTTTCGTTTATGGAAGTAAACAAGAGTATCGAAATAAAGAGAAACACGGAAAAGGAGCCCGCGGGGATGCCAAATTTGCCAACTTCTCTATTCATGAATGTAGCTTGCTCGATGCTGAAGGTATTCATCTGAGAATAAACTGTCCAAAATAGTATGCATGTGGACCATATCGGTATCAGCTTAAGTACCATTTTCACTTCTTCAACTTGAGTAACTGTTGAAACTATCCAAGGGTTGTTTCTATTTTCATTTGCAGCTGTATATTCATCAAGAATGGCTGCCTTGTCGAAACACCTTTATGATAAGAAGAACATACTGATTAGCTTCTATATGAAAATCAAGAAGTCATGCTTCTAATATGCTATCATGATTCATTCGTTCTTGCTTTCGTCCTAAAAAAGTTCATTCAATTAAAATCTAGTTAAAGATGTCAAATTTTACATTAACAAATTTTGATTCTAGTGTAAGTGAGAAGGGGAGCCTTGGCGTAACTTGTAAAGTTGCTGCCATGTGACCAGGAGGTCACGGGTTCGAGCCGTGGAAATAGCCTCTTGCAGAAATACTGGGTAAGACTGCGTACGATAGACCCTTATTGTCCGGCCCTTGCAAAACGGGAGTTTAGTGCACCGGGCTATCCTTTTTTTAGTCAGTAAGAATATTTAGGTTGAAGATATCTTTCTTGTAAACGATTAAGTGTTAAAAGCTTGAGCTAGATATAATTCCCTAGTTGTTATTGTTATGCATTGTTAGATCATGCTTACCTTAGCATTTTTGTATGTGGGACTTTTGCATTGTGATATTCATTCAAGAAGCCAGGATCTGAAGGGTAAGAAAGTTTCCTCTTCCTCCAAGCCAGGATCAACACTCTCCATATAATAGTCAAAGGACTTCCCTCTGGCTTCTTGAATCTGTATAACGATGTTCCACCGAGCAGTACAGCTACTCCTATGACCATTGCACCAGCCGATATTCCATATCCCCATCCTCTCCCTACATTGTCTTGTATATACACTAATACGGTCACTGCAAACAAAGATCCCAAGCTTATGCAGAAGTAGAACCTGTTGAAGAAGTATATCATGGCTTTGTTCTCTTTAGGATTTGATGAATCAAATTGGTCTGATCCAAAACCCGAGACGCTGGATTTGATTCCACCACAACCAAGTGCTATGGTGTATAATGCTGCAAAGAGGAGAGCAAGTTGCTGGCCGCTAGCTTCAATGCAGTGACCTTTCGATCTTGAGTCACACACAGGCGGCTTCATACTTGGAATAGATGTTGCAAGTGTCAACAGAGTTACTCCCTGGTTATAGACACATGCAAAACATATTAGGTGAGTTTTATGTTTAACAAATGTCTTGCTTAGTTACTTCATAAGTTAGATTCACACTTTCAAAGTGTTAGAAGACATAATTAAGTTAAATAAAAGTGTACTCAGTCTAACAACTTAAGCTTTTAGTTTTAGATGAGATAGTGCCAAGGTCATGTGTTAGAGTCTTACTGTTACCATCAACGTGAGTGGCGCGTTGAAA